TATTAGAAACAAGTGCCACGCTAGTAGTAACAGGTGCCTTACTAGTAACAAGAAGCTATTAGTAACAAGTTTCAGAGGTCCACCCGTCTTTCCCTCTTTGCAGCGAACCCCCGGTTTCGGTGCCCACATCATGACTAGGCTCGATTCCTCGATGCTTCGGACCCCGACGACCGACTCGGGCCCATGGTTGGGACGGGATTGGATGATCGTCCTCATTGCTTCGTCACCGGTTGGCCATCGCTAGGGCCGCTAGGTTGGAGGCCAGTGATCGTCCTCATCGCTCTCTCCCAGCACCCTTTCTTCCCCTTCTTTCTGGAAGAAACCACCTGCGACCGGTGCCCTTTCCCGGTGAAAACCGACCGGTGCCGTTCTCGGCCAACCAGTCGAAGCGCGGGGTTCGACCGGCTTTTGGAGGACCAAGTGGCTTTCGTGCAGAGACCTCTGGAGTGCCTGGCCCAAGTGGTCAGTGCTGGAGTCAAACCACCACTCAGTGACGTCGGATCCGGCCTTTTTGGGAGTTCTCGGTCCGGCTCTTGAACATCAGGTGTACCTGAAGCTCTACCTTATGGATGCTGGCCCATAGTCTCTACCCGGTTATTGGAGTCTCCAAACCCAACTACCAAACCTTCAAAGGGTACCGTACGCTAGCCCTCAGCTCGACCATTAAAAGAGTTCGGGAATTACCTGGTGTTGTAAAATTCTCAGTAAAACAATAGTTGTTCGACAAAAGCCATTAAATCAATGGTGCTTGGATGCATAGGGGGTATGTAGGTCCTTAAGGCAAACTGAAGAATATCTTCAGCTTGTTTCGCCTTGGCTGACGAATTTTGAGAGGCACCACCAAACCACAAGGTGAAGGGGTGGAGCAACTGGAACATGTCCTTGTGCTTTGAATCTCTTTGTCTTTATCTACACCCCTTTTTAGCTCTAGACAATTTCTTTCAGTTTTAGTATCATATTTTCTTTCATGTCTTCTTTAGACTCTAGACCTTTCCTTCTTTCTTTCCTTTCTTGATTTCAGTTGGAAGAACAGCTTTCCATGTCAAAACTGATGAAGAACCTCGTTTCACCTCCATGTGCCCTCCGTCCGGTTCGCGGACCATCCCCAAAAAGCCCTGACGCTCCACGTGGCCTTCTTTGATGCTCCACCAAGGGAAAAACCGATGGAAAAACAATTCACGCTCTTGGCGTCACCGCAAAGCCGCGGAACACCCCATCCACCGGAGGAGCACCGTTTCAGCCGCGGGATCCGAACCGAACGGATCCGAACCCAAACGGCTCGGAAAAGGGCGGGAGAGGTGGATAGACACGGAAGAAAGGACTGACCTGGAGAATTGGAACCATTCAACATGTCGAAGGCACCGATCTAATCCTATCTATGTATCCCACTATAGTAATGACAGAAAACAGGCTAAATTGTAAGGGGGGGCCCTCCACGGCGGACTGGTTCGGTCGCAGATTTCGGGAAAGCCCGCCTGCAATGCTGCTTGACCTGCACCCGTCCGCTTCATCCGTCCGTTGGACGGTCGATTTGGTCGATCGATTGACCCCGTTCCGGCCTCACGAGCTTTTCCGGTTTGCTTCGTTTCCCAGGGTCGCACTGAGTCACACTGCCCCAAATTCCCAGACTCTGTTTAGCAATGGCCTCCAAACTCATTAAACCACATTTAAAAACAATCTTCTTTTGAGTTACCAGTAGGAATGGCCTCCAACCTAATAGGAATGGCCTCCAACCTAGAAGCGATGGCCTCCAACCTAGCAGGCAATGGCCTCCAGACCCTGTTCCAAGGAAGCTCCCCGCGCAAAGCACTTTTCCTCCGCTGAGCACTCTCATCTCATCTCCGCCGGCCGCAGGGTCGGTTCCGGGCGCCTGGTGGCGTCACTGGACCGGGGTTCGGAAGTGCCGTTTCGAGAGGCTTTTTGTTTCGTTCAGGGGTGGCTGCGAGTGGTTCCTGGCGGTCCACCTCTGAAAGCTCGGAAAAGAAGGAAGACTGGCGACGAACTTGGAGTCTCTAAAGCACGTGCTTTTGGATCCAAAGTTGGAACTCCTACCTTCACTGTTCCTGCAGACTCTTGTCTGCCTTTGTTTTGGGAGCCTTTTTGGATCACCTTGACATAATGCCAAGGAAACGATGAATCCAATGGAATCACACGTGTCCTCTAAAGTGGGATGCCACGAACTTCCACCAGTCCTCCGCAAACGTTGGGATCTCTCTCTCCCATGTTTTTGTCTCGGACTCTTCGCGTCGGGGAACCCCGATGCATGCGACTCTTTCCGTCGGGCAGAGAAGATCGTTTGGACCAAATACAACATACCTGGTTGACATGCTAGAGGTTTGTTGGTGAGGTCTTCTGGTGGAGCCGCAACTTCGTATGTCGACCTGCCTTGTGCGACCCCACAGCTGCTTCGCTGGCTTCGCCTAGGGAGCTGCGATGCAGCTGGTCTTGCGCCATCGGCTCTTGTCATCCCAAAGGATCTCTGGAGGGCCGGTAGCCAAGGGCCCATCGAGGATGCCACCTGATCACGTGAGCGATTCGAAGCGACGGAGGGGACGGTGCCGGGGACGGAAGGATGGGGTATTTTTCTTCCAAACGCTCCGTGAAAGCCGTCCTTTGCTGTTAATTACACTTAATTCTACTAGTAACAAGTGCATCGCTTCTAGTAACAAGTGCCTTACTAGTAGTAACAAGAAGCTATTAGAAGTAATTACACTTAATTCTAATTAAAGTCTATAGCTTATTGTTTCTACTAGCTTCTTGTTCCTAGTAGTAAGGCCCTTGCTCCTAGTAGCGATGCCCTTTGCTCCTAGTAGCGTGCTTTGTTGGTCCTTCAAAACCTTATACTGCGGATCCCAACCCCGAGGATTCCAGGGCTGAATGGCACGCGGAGGTGCTGCACCTCCACAGGTGAGGATGGAAAGCACGAACAGGTGGCAGGCAGGGTTTCCTTGGTGATGTTTGGGGAAAGCCAAAGAGTGAGGCTTATCTGGATGTGTCTCAATCTGTGCAAGCCCCCACACAAACTCATCCGTGAAACACATTTCTCAATCACCTAAGCTATAACAAACCCTCAAATCCTTCCCCCGAGTCGCGCAAGACAACCCACTCTCTGCACCCGAAACCGAGCACTGCGTTTGGGACGCAGCGCGACACGCGCCGCGCCTTGCCAAACGCCCCGCAGCTCGGCTGGCCCGCCCAGCGGGCGCCAATCGACCCAGAACTGCCGAGGCACCCCAGCCAGGCGCAGAACCAAGGGCGCGCCTTGGACGAAACGCGGAAGGGGACCGTTGAACCGCTTTGGGGGCACAAAACCGAGGGTTTCCATCCCGCCGAAGCGAAGGCACACACACACACACACGTCACGATCTATCTTCCTGTCAAAAACCAAGAGGTCAACCAACCCGCACCCGTCAGGCCAAGTCCGCTCCATCATCCTGAGCTTACCAGTGGACGATCATATCTCTACAATAGACATTCAAAACACATCTATGTGCAAAAAAGACTTCTTGATTGCTTTTGTGTTATAGTATGATATAGTAACATATTTTGTTACTCCTTCGTACACGCGACTCTTTCGTCTCTAGCACCCAACCTTTGACCGGTCTCTGTGGCCACTTGGCGCTCTCGTCCGACGGTCTGGCACACCACCGGTCGTGCGCGGGCGAACATGGCCGGTTGAGTGGTCGATCGCGGCGCGCCTTGGATGTTGGTGGAGGTCATCTTCCAGGGCTGACCATCTTTACTTCCAGTGATCGTGGCAGTGCCATCTCCTGGGAACTTCGTCGTAAGCCGACGTGCCAAGCAGGGAGGCGCACCGTTGTCCGGAACCGAGAGAGGACGTCGCAAAAAAACGCGAGGGTGGCCACGGTCACAAGGGGGGGAAAGCTGCTAAGAATGCCGAGAAAGTTGCGGATTTCTTGTGGTTTTGAAGGACTTGGCGGAAACATTTCTGAGGCACATCTTGCATGATGCTCATATACCCCACGAGGGTTGAAGATTCCGGTGACCGATTGTCATGCGATAGTTGTATTGAGGTCAACATGCTTTAACTCTAGTGAACTCTTGGCCTAGACGCCTATCCCATGTCCCTCTTGACTCAAATCCGCTTTCAGCAACCTCCAATATCTTCACCACCAAACACTGCTTGCCGTGCCACGGGCCGACGGCGGCTTCTCTCACCCTGCGGATTCTCCCACAACAACATGCAGTTCCAAAGGGGCGCCGAACTTGGAGGTTCTCGGGGTTCCCAGAACATCCACTCACTGGAAGGGACTAAAGACCATTCCTTTGAAACTGGTAGTCGCATGGCACCATCCGATGGGCCGGGCTGCGCGCGGGGCGTTTGGACATCCACCGAGGGGCGGACAACGATGCTGGCAGTGCCGCCTAAGGACTTGGGGATCTCCCAAGTGCCGTTGAAGGTGGAGCCTGGCGAGGGAAAACATCTGAGACTGCAAAGGCCCAATGGAAGGGAAGGGGTAGTTGTCGTGGTTGATGGAAGTGGGTGTCATTCTTCTGTGCTGTCTTGTTGTCTTCTTTGCTTTGGTCGCCAAGCAAATAGAGGCGAACCTGACAGACCCAAGCGATTCTGTTCCGCTTTCGATCGTTCCCTTGACTCTGGAAGACATCCTGTCACCACAACACCATGGATAACACATGCCGATTTGCTGTTCAGGAAGCCCGGGGAAAAACGGTCATCACCTGAATCTGCAAAGCCAGTTTTTTGGGGCTTGGACGTGAAGGACGAAGACCATGTCGCACCAGGAACTCCCCTTCAGCTTGCCAAACAAATTAATCACAAGGAAAAAAAGGGGAGGCTTCTAATGCCCCTAGTAGCGTCCTTGCTCCTAGTAGCGATGCCCTTTGTTACTAGTAGCATTCTTAGCCCAATCCTTCCACCCCGCTTGATGCCTTCGCACTCTTCAGCACCCGCAGGGCCGGACAGGAGAAGGCCAGTGAGCGGCAAGCCTTGGTCCAGACCGGTGGATCGATTGGTTCCACCGCTTGGTGAAGCGAATGGGGCGGTGAGCATGGAGCGGGTGCGATGAGGTGCAACTAGCAATAACCCCCTAAGAATCCCAGAGAGGTTCAGAGACCTGAACGTTCGGACCCTCTAGTGCTACATATGGGCTAGGCGAGCCAAGAGACACAGCGATTTGTGAGGCAAAACTGTGGGGTCTGCGACTTGGTGGCTTTGGGGTGTGCACGCTTCTGACCGGAGCTGAAGTCCTAGAACCCGTGCTCGGAAACGGGCGGAAGGTGTCCCTAGCACCACACATCCTACTGGTGCGTACCCGATGGTTCAACTCACCTGTACAACATCTATTGATGATCCACAACATTGACTTAATTTGTGAAATGCGTTTGTTGTCCCAAAGAAAGAACATAAAGCCACTTGCCGGAGTCACTTGCCAGTGTCGGGGGGTGCCCATGTCACATCACATCCACTCAGTGGATGGGACGAGTCACACCACCCAAGTCCATGTGTCCCTGGTGCAGGTCCAAACTTCCAGTTCGCCCATCTCACCAAGCAGCGCCGGCTCACCTTCCGCGCGCGCGTCTTGGCTGCAGCGCCCGTGGCGCACAGCGCCCATGGCGCCCAGGTCGCGCGGAGACCGGGCGCCGATCGCGGGTGGGTCGAGGGGCGCTGGGCGGTCCGCGCGGGGTGCGCGAGGGGCGCGGGAGGCGCAGGCACAAAGGTGGTCAAATCCATGGCGAAAGAGCCAAAGACTGCAGAAGTTTTCCATTTGCTTCGCCACTTTTGATCTTTCATTTGTTGGAAAAAGGACCTGAGATGGTTCTCCATCGCTACATCGGCCAGCCCCCATTCCGATGAAACCTGAGAAGCATCCCTCTGGAATTTTCCGTGATGCCCACTACACTCAGATGTTTAGACCATTGCGCAATAGGCAATATATGATTGAGAATGATTCAAGAGCCACTTCCGAAACGATGCTCCACCATGTGTAGAGGTGCTGGCCAAACACAAGACTTCTCAAGTTTTTTGTTCTTTGATTTTGGAATTGACAGAGAGTACACCCCCAAAAGCAGGAACACCCCGGGCGACGCCTCCAGGATAAGCATTGCAAATACCAGACATATCCAGACATCAAGTTAAGTTAAGTTTCCCTAAAGAACTAGGAACCAAATCATTAGTGCGAGCGCTTCCTTGAAGAAGCATGAGGTATCCAGCATCCTCCCTCAATTAAGCAGGTCGTCTCTGGCCACGGGCTTAAAACAAAGAAGAAAGAGGTGGTGGCAGCCTATTCTTGCTGGGCAACACCTCCGAGCCGCACCCGCATTGCCTTGACTTGGGCCGCTCCACTTTCTCCTCCTGGTCGTGGCAAGACTTAGCGATTCATGCTCGTGCGGCTTTGTTGGTCGCAACTTGACCCATGCAAAAACCCGAGGAGAAGGTTATGTGTCGGCACAAGCGAGAAAGTGTACCACCCAGATCGCTGCTCAAAACCCCGGAAAAGTACCCATGGGCCGCAGACTATAGGGAACCAAAGGACGAGGACGGTTTTTTGGACACCGAGAATCACCTCTCAGCTGGTAGATGTCCTTTGTTTTAAGACAAACACATACTGCGTTTGGTGACTTAATTCCTTTGGAGCGACCTTTGCAAACAAATGCCATAGGCCATAGGTTAAACAATAACATGCTTTTTGGAGCTGTCATGCAAAATTTCCATATGCGTTCGAGCCCAATCTCTGGCAGAAACCAAAGAAAACCATACCAATCTCAGTGTATTTGTGGGCCAAGTCTATCTCTCCAGGGATGCCCCATCACTGCATATGTTTTTTTCCTAAATGTCGCACTTTTAGTCAAGCATGGCACTTCTCGATTGAATTCAGGTGGTCAGGTTTGCACCTTTTAATACACCCCCAGTAACCCCGAGTTTTTGGAGGACTCAGGTCAGGATCCCTCCCATGAGATTCGGGTCCAGACTTCAAAACCTACGCAGATCAACCTGGGGGACCACGTGGAACTCAGCAGACCTGTCGCTCCGCGTGGTTGCTCCACATGGTCCAAGTAGCTGGTTGAATCCACTGGGATGTGATCAAGAAAAGCATCTACATGACGTCTAATCACATTCATCATGGATGTTTTTACCCTTACATATACCTGGATCTTCCAACGGCGCAACAAACATCTCCCATGTTTGGTCTTCAAGAACCAGCCAAGTTCGGCACCGCCGGGCGTTTCGGGCCCCGCATGGCTCCATTCCTCCTGGCCGCCCGGCCTGCGGTGAACCACCGGGGATGGTGAGACGCTTCGGACGCCTCAGCCGACGCGACGTGAAGGTCGGGACGCGGGGACGTCAGCTGTGGTGCACCCATGATGGGACCCATTCAGCAAGGGCTGGGGCTTCGAGGGAAAAACCTGTTTTCACAGGTTCTTGGTCAGACGAAGAGGCTTTTGGATATTTCGTTTCACAAAGCTCGGTTTGTCATGTGGTGCAGTGCCAAAGCACTGCTTTACCCTAGACTCGCGGCCCCCCCCCAATTTCAAAGGCCTGACTTTTGTGAATGACAATTTTACACGGCAACCAGGCCGTTCCCATTATTTCTGAAACGGTCGAATGACAAAACGACCGGGCAAATCGTGCCTCTACCAAATCAATCCAAGAAAGGATAATAAACCAACTATCTACCATTTCATCATCATATCGATTGCATTTTCTTAGAATTTCGCCAGAGTTTGTGGCCACGCCCCTGAACCCTGTGTCGGGGTCTTGTCCTCCTCTTGCCCTCCTGGTGCTTGCATGTGTCCTGTTGTTGTCCTTTGACCGCGTTGGCCAACCTTGTGTCCTGTTCTTGTCCTTCGCTTGTCCTGCTGGTGTCCTCCTGGCTTCTTTCCCTTGTTTTCTTGGTGTCCTCTGGTCCTCCTGGTTGCTGTTGTCCTCTGGCCGCGCTGGCCAAGCCTGTGTCGTCCTTTTGCCTCCTGGTGTCCTCCTCCTGTCCTCCTGGTTTCTTTCTTTTATCTTCTTGGTATCCTTCTCTAGCCTTCCTGGGTCTAATCAATTCTTTTCTCATCCTCTGTTGTTTATCACCAAATCAATCGACCTCCACGGTCGCTGCGGTCGGCACTCCATTGGCCCCCCCGACGGTGTGGCTTCCTGGCAACGGGACGTGCAACGCACCGGGTCCAAAGGACGAGAGTTTAGGGCGGGTGCCAAGCAAAAGAACATCAAGAGTTTGGAGCCCTTTTCGGAAGGGTTCTTTTTGAGCATTTTTGGAGTTTGTTGAGGCTCACCCCGGGTTTCAGGTGGTCTTGTTTGGGTCACAGGTGGTGGAAAAGGCGGTCGTTTTGTGCGCGTTGAGGGGAAGGAACGGGAAGGAAAGAGAGGTTCAGCTCAGAAAGAGTTAGATTTTCCAAAAGAAAAGGGAAGAAAAACAAGAAATCCTTTCAGGTTCCATGTGCAAACTCTTCCAGGGCGTAGATCCATGGCTGCTTGGCGGTGTGTTCCGCCACACCAAGACGCAGCTCCCCAAACGCCGCCCGCGCGGTCTGCCTGGGCCTCGAGCTTCTCGGGCTTCTCCTCGAGCTTCTCCGGCTTCACCGGGAGCACCTTCACCCGGCGGCTTCAACCACCAGACAAGTCCATGAGAAGAGGAAGTCCATCCCGGTGAGACACTCCGATTTAGGCTTATGTGAGTGGGGACCCCGAAGACATCAAGTAGAAAGTCAGGAGTTCTTGGTCGGTTTGTGTGAAGCCCGGATATGTTGAATCTCAATACAAAGTTATCAGAAACCGATTCCAAGCTCTGTATACACTTGAACATCATATTGCTTGGACCTTGAGTTGAGGTATCACAAGTTTATGGACAAGGCTGACAACGCTGCATGTCTTGCAATTTGCTCAACTGCTAGATTGTTTGCGGCACTGCTTGACGTTCCCATCGTTTTCACTTGTTGGGCATGTTGGTGGTCTTTCTGATTTTTCACCGGTAGCCGTTTCTCTCGCTTTTGGATCTCTTTTTGGGTTAACCACACCGGCGTTCCAGCTTGTTCACTCGAGCCCGGCTCATTCAGGCTCACTCACGGCCCACGCACGCACCGCGTGGCACGCCTGACGCATCAGTTTTGTGGCTTGTTCTCTTGTGTTGCGCTGCACCGGTGGAGCGCCAGGCCATCAGCTGGGCGTCACTACCGGGTCAACTCCATGCCCCGTCCGAAGCAACGGCCACTATAGCCGCTTCGTTCCTGCAAAAGACGTGGCCCCAAAAAGATGCAGGTTGATCCAAAAGGCCTAAATTAAGCATCAAGAGCCAAATGGAGCGCCACATCCCAAGCTTCATCCTGGTGCGGTGGCGGACTCCGTTCGTCGGTGATGGGCCGAGGCAACGGAGATGCGAGATGCGCTCCAAAGACAAGTCTGACGATGCTGGCGCCCGCGATGTTGCGGGTTTTTCACACGCTGTGAAGGATGATAAGGATGATTCTTGAAGAGATCTGGTTGCCCAAGATTCCTGAGCTTGGGCACTATGAGCGTATGGGGTTTTCGAGATCCTGGCAAGAACTACTTGCCAGCAGTTATACAGCTGAAACTGCAACGGCGCGCATATTGGCCATTTCAGGCTTGGTTGTGGTTGTTGTTGCTGATGATGGTGTTGCTGTTTTTGGAAATATGGGTCCCACGAGGGCGTCGTGAGAGGTGTGCTATTTTTATTGTTGTCGTTGACTTGCTGCTGCCTTGCTTCGTGACAACATGGGGTGGAGCAGGTGGGGGGGGGTAATGCCGTCAATTTTCTTTCGTTCACTTGAAGATAACTTCGTACTTCGTTTACTTTAAGATAACTTTTGCACTTCGTTCACATGAAGGTAGCTTCGTAGTTCGTTGCATGGCGCAAGACGTTGGTTTAGGTCTATGTTGTGAAGATAACATGGCGCTTCCTTTAAATTAAGATAGCTTCATATTTCATTTACTTTAAGATAAGATTGTAATTCGTTCACATTAAGATGCCTTCATACTTTGTTCACATTAAGATAGCTTCATAGTTCGTTGGATTGTGCAGGATTTTGGTTCAACAATGGTTTGCCCTCAAGCCTTAGTCTTGATGTTCGTCTTGTTACTTCGCATTGCTGGTCAGCCGTGTCCGTCTTCCGATCGTTTGCTGTTGCTGTCGTTGTCGTTGTCGTTGTGGTTGTGGTGGTTGTTGTTGTTGTTGTTGTTGTTGTTTCGTGTGAATCCGTTTACCCTTGATCATGACGTTCAGGTCTAGATTCTCTAGAGCGGTCTACAGGTTTCGCTCGATCCGGATAGATCTTGAACTATGTTCGGAGTTGGCAGTTTCGCTATCGCCACAGAGGGGATGATCTCTTCCCTGCCATCGCAAAAGCGATGAGCAGCCCTTACAAGTGAGCAGGAAAAGGCAGTGCCGAAAACGCCTAAACAACAAACTTTCCGAAAACGCTGTTTCGCCTGCAAAATCAAATACATGTTGCCAAAAAAAGAGTTGCTAAAAAACGAGCGAAACGCAAAAACGATGACCCTCATGAGACATGGCGAAGCCCAAGCGTGCCTTTTTTCGTGCGACGCCTGAGGGGCGACCATCCGGATTTTTTGCTGTTGTGGTTGTTGTCGTTCTTGTTGTTATTGTTGTTGTCGTCATTGTCCTCAAATGAGCTCAAATGATGCGTGTCACACAAAATGAATGTCACAGGGGGTTCAACAATTTGCGCCATCCCGACATCAGGCGGGTCACTCGCGAAAACGGTCCTCCACAAACCTCGTGCCCGCAGAGAAGTCCTAAATTTATCGATTTGGACTTCAGACTTCTGTACCACAGTGGGTATGGTAGAGCAAGCCATCTCTTTGCTCTTTGGGCATCAAGCCGTGTGACAATCGCTTTACGGACAGGCTGCGGGGTAAACCGGCGGAGGGCGCACATTAAAGGAACTATAATTGACCAGAACACCACGTCGAACGTTGACAAAAGTCTGAGTCAGTTTGCAAGGTGGAATCAACAATGCATCATCTCCACATCCTGTAAAGAATCGCATCCTGAATCCAGCTCTCATACACAAATATCGGCATCGTGTCCGATTGATTCGTGTGTCTATGAACCACTTGGTTCCATCTGGAGCCAATAGTTTTGTGAATAAACAGATAGAGGACAAGCTTGAAGCAAGCAATCTCCAAATCGTTACGGAAACACATCCTGCGGCACATGCAGCGGAACACATCCAGCTTCCACAGAACAACGTTCAGATCAGATCTGGCTCGGGTCTTCGGGGTCTGGTTCTTCTCTTTTCTCCACTCCCTACAGGTGAGCGTCTGAGCGTCTGGACACTTCGAATTCTTCTGGAAAAAAGAAAGACAAATCCGACGACGTTGGCGCCCGCGTTTTTCACACTCGGAAAGAAGTCGCCGAAGATCCCTTGATGATCAGAACGGGTTCAGGTCAGACTCTCGAGGATCTTTCGATGGCCCCAGGCCTGAAGAGGCTTTACCATCCATGTCTGGGGGGCATTTCCTCCCCTCAGAATTCGGCTTTTTGCAGCGGATCTCACTCAATGGTTGGCTTTCTTCGACATCGACCGTTCAGTCGTCCGGTCGCCTCACTGTTCTCTTCGCCCGAGAGTGGAGAAGCCGCCTCCTGAGTGAAGCATGGAGATCCGCCAAGTCGCCCGGAGCTCGGAGTGTGGTGGCAGAACCAACGAATTTGTTTGAGATGAACGTTGTTCATCAGAGTGGTTCTTATAGGAATGTCTATAGAATTGTCCACTTTCACGACTCAAATAGTGTTTTTTTTTGGTAAACCTTTTTTCTGGTAGACCTTCCTGAAGAAAACAGCTCTGATGGCTTTTAGCCACCCCAATCCAACCAGCCTGGGCAGCACCTCGCATATGTTCACAACAAGTTGGAAACACACCCGGACAAACATGGTGTTGAAACAGGGTGTTGGAATTCACCACGAATACACCGCATCTCTTCAACCGATCGAGGCGATCAGCCACCGGAGATAGATGTTGTTCGAAGCGAACTTTTCGATACATCAATGACTGGCAGAAAATGAACACCCCTTCCATGACACCGGGCTAGTAATACCTGGACCTTCCTTTTCTGTGCAACATTTCAGCTGAACATGACGGATTTTTGGAGATGAGGTGGCACCAGAAGTATAGGAAGCCGGCAAAGGTTTTCATTTCTGAACGGATTCATGCGAGTTTGTGCCCATCGATACGATATGCGTGGATCCTTCCCAAAGCAATGTGTAGCTGCAGGGGAGGATTTCAGGAACACTCCGAACTGTTCGTGGTTGAATTGATCAATGTATTAGAAGCAACACTCTGTAGAACAAGGTCAGTCACCCCTTGTACCTGCAAAACGCCTCAGAATTGGCACATCAAATGGCCTGAGAACTGCTGATCTCGCAATCCTCAAGTAGAATCCTGATTATCCTTGCTTTCGCAGCCCCAACTGACGTTTGATTGGGTTTTCCAAAAGGAACAACGCCACTGCTTTGGGTGCTTAAGAAGTTCCAAGTAGACTTGGTGCCCACGCGTGCTTGGCACAGGCAGCCTTCACATTGGATGGTGTCCACCTCGGCACTTGACGCGTCGTTGTTGGACTTCGACCTCCCTATACCCTGCCAGATCTTCCCTCACATTAGCCACAAAACGGTGCTCACATAGAGCACAAAGTCGCACAGCGTCAGAGCCGTAAGAGACACTGTTGATCCCACGTGCTTCACGTCCTTCGGTTCGACCATTCGAGTTCGGGACCTGGTGGATCCTGGTGGATCCTGTTTCTAGTAGCGAACCTTGTTACTACTAGTAACAAGTGCCACGCTAGTAGTAACAAGTGCCTTACTAGTAAGAAGCTATTAATTTAAACTTAATTCTAATAGCTTCTTGTTACTACTAGTAAGGCACTTGTTACTAGAAGCGATGCACTTGTTCCTAGTAGCTGATCTAGTTCGGGACTTACCTGTGTAAAAAATCCGTAAAAGAATTCAATGGTTCTTCGGTCATCCGACGAACACCCTTTGGTGTTTTTTTTGTCACGGCGTAGACCGATCGAGGAGGTGACCTTGAGGTTTCATCCCCTGGTCTGTCGCGCTTTCCTGTCATCCAAAAGCCACAGAAGAGAAAGGTCCTTCCCGTTCTCGCACCCGGCCAAAAGCACATATACTGTCAGAAACGACCAGAAAAGGGGGTCATCTCGAGGTGCACTACCAGAGCTATATATTTTCTTTTTTGGAGAAGGCGATGGTCACATGCCACCGACCCCTTTTTTGGTCGGTTTCGCTTTTGAGATGTTCACCTATAGCAGCACCCGACTCGACTCGACAAGTCACCACTTGCCATAGGTCTAGGTCTCTATCCATTTCACTTTTGTTCCGAGTCAGGTGAGTCAGGGTGCTATTAAGGAAGGGTTTTCCTTCTTCTTTTCCCAAGAAACCAGCGTGGATGGCTCGGTGTGGACTTCCAAGACTGCCCCAGAAGGGGGAGATGTTGGAAGAACCGATCATAGTGTTGTTCTATCCCCTTTTTGGTTGGTCCCTTTGTGGAGCACCAGAGCCGCTGGAAGTAGGGGAGCTGCAGCGGAATACGCTCCTGGCAAATCATCCCTGTCTGAGAGGAACATGGTCTTTTCAGGGGGCCATGCCAGCCACGTAGCCAATGACTATTCCAGACTTTCAGGCAGATCAGCGTTAAGTACGTGTATCAGGGAGTGTACCTTGGGTCAACTGGGGAGTTTCGCATTTTGTGAGATCCATCTCATGGTTCGGCTAGATATTTGGTTCCTGATTTCATCGCCCGAATCCCGAAGAACCATGATTTGACTCATGATTTTGTACTGCCAGGTACCCACCTTTGAACAAGCATTCTTTGTTCATGGTCGAAGGGTCGAGGCGAACGGGGCATCCTGCGAGATCAAACCGGCTTGACGGGAGGCCACGCCCGGGGGGATTTCTGGCCACGATGGCTGAGTACTCGCGGCAGCGATTTCTTTGCCCGCCCAAATGACGCTCGTTTTCAGGGTTGTTGGGCCCGAGCTTTGCACGGTTCAACAAGGCCCCACGAACTTAAAACGCGCAGAACCCGAAAGGATTTGCAGCACATCGGCGAACAAAGATCTGTGATCACTTGGCGGGATGTCTGAATCCTTGGACCCGATGAGCAAAACCCATTTGGAAGCAAATCCGTTTGGAAAATCGATCTGTCCAACCGTGTCGGTCACTGGCACAGCTTGGTGGCTGGCTTAACCCAAAAGGCATCCAGCGTCATTGATCCAATTCCGAACAAGGCTGTCTACTGTCACCATTGGTCACTCCAAAATGGATCATAGCATTAACAAACTTCTTGGGCAACAAACTAAAGGGGGTGTGCAACTGGCCCTGGGCCAATCTCCAAGTGCTGGTCTAGCTCACATCCAATTTTGAGTGCACATCCCATATGGCTGTTTTGATCCAAAAACCACTACCCAGCCACAACTTGGGAGGCGGCCATTCACTTCCCCTGCTCTTCAGCGGCGTGAAAACAGCGATCCGCCACACCAAAGGGCGGGAGAAAACCGTCGGAGTTGCTGAAATCGGTTTGGTGTTCTGCTCAGATAGGGGGAAGACCCATTTCAGCGACTCCACCAATCTCCACTTGTTTCTTCCAAGTGCCCGAACTGGACCATGCAGACTGCAGACTGTTGATTAATCAAAGCCCCTTCTGGCTTGGGGGATTTTATTGTAGCATCAAGAGTCTACATGACTGTGGTTACCGTCAGTCACGAACCTACTCATTTCAAGAATGTTCAACTGAAGAAGCCGGGTGAGCTGCTGGGTGTGGCGTCTTTTTTCGGAAGCGACCTGCCCATCTGCCCATAGTGTGTCGCTTTTCTTCTCTTCCATTGATGAAAGGAATGAAGAACTTTAGATCGCTCCTGACATACCACATGTGCTCTCAAATGCTACTTGGCACCCGAGGTCTTATAGGAAGAAATCTTCCATGTTAGGTGCTCTGACAGAAGTGATGAGTAAAGCACTCCCTGCGTACAACATCAACAGTAGTATCTCTCGGTCACGAAATACACCCTCCCTCCAACAATCTTGGAAGTGTAAAATGGTCCTTTAGTGGAGGAAGACAGTCTTCCAAGGGGCCATGTTCCACTTGCATGTTTGTTGGATGAAGGGTAACCTTCTATTCGGCTCCTTCCATGCCGTTACATCCATGACGCGCTTGTATTATGCCATCCATCTAGATTCCGAGCTCGAAAACGAACCCATCCACATCCAGAATTGGCACTGGATGCCATGGGTACAGTGATGCGCAGTGATGCCAACCCGAAACCCTCACATCTCGCCCTCCTGCGAGCGATCAATACTTGGGAAGCCTCGGGTCGCGGTCGTGGTGCTTGGCTGCCAAAAGCGACTCAAAGGACCTACCCGGTGGATTCGCATGGCGTGAGGGGAACCGAGGCGACTCGCCAACGACGGCGCCTGTTGAGAAAAGGGAGGAGAGGAGCTCCTCTCCGAAGTAGAGGCTATCCTGCCTTGTCTTCTGGCCCCTTTTCCGGCCTCTCCCCCAAAGTGTGGACGTGTCTCTGATGGATTTCTTTGGCAAAGCAGAGATCCCAACCGCAGGTTTACCATGGTCATGACTCACTCCCTGAAGCAATTGGATGCGTTCGGGATCCCTGTCTGGCTAAACTGGCTACACTACCGTTCGTACAAGCCTGGGGGGCGTAGGGAACGTGCTTTTCCTGCTCCAACAACAAACATGCGCACCCCAAACTCAGGGGAAGTTATCAACATGTATTTTTGTAGAGGTGAGTTCTACTGTTTCCGTTCTCTAGGTTTGGACAAAAGGTGGACCAACCATGTTTTGGGATAGCAGCAACCCAGAGAAGGACCAATGTCCTTTGTAGGTTTCCAAAATCATTCTTTGAAGGGAGCCTCAATCTTTCTCTCAAGTCTCAATTTTGGAGCCTGTTGAGTCCCTAAGATTGCAAGGTCTTACTGCCCCTGTTGGAGTCCCTGCCCAAGTCTCCTAAGGTCGTTCTCTAACGACTGGGTAGTCGACTCCAAACAATCGAACACAGCAGCTGGACACCTTCCGTTTCCTTTTCGACGAACACGACGGCCGTTCGGACTTTTGGAGCTCCCCTTTCCCTGGTCCGCCAGGGTGAACGGCCGTTTGTAAGGGCAGGGTCAAGTGTTTCCATGTCGACTCAATGGGTCGGTGTTGCCGGGGACTGGTTTCGCAAGCAGCTCAAACGCGAAGGGACCGGACCCGAAAGTCGAGGGGTCTGATGGGACCGTGGACAATCCCGCAAGGTCGACCTGGGAACTCGGTGAACGGAGCTGGACCGGTTTCTTTGCCCCTCTGGACCTGAACGCTGAGATGGATCCGGAATCCGCTCAGGTCTTCGGGGGTTCGAAACGAATCGTTTGGAGGGACTGGAAAAGGTTCACTCACGGAACGTTTGGGTTTAGACGGTTCAGACCATGTTTCGCTTATGGTTTACTTCTCTTCTTCGGCGTAACACCTGAGCATGCAAGTTCAACACGTCTCCATTCCCCCGCCCGGAACCAGGTTCTGCCGAAGGCACTGCTGCTGGAACCTCGGGGAGTGGGCAACGCCTTTTTCCAAAAAGACATGATCATCACCAGGACCCTCTGGTTTTCCGTTCGTCCGTGCAGGTTCACCACCTGTGGTCCGGTCTCCGTCTCCTGAGAGTCCTGGAAGGTGAGACGACTCCCGATCCATGGAACAGACTGGTTGAAGAACGAACTCGTTCTTGTGTCCGGGGGCACTCCCCAAATCCGCCAAGTGGATCCAGGATCCTTTTTCAAACGGCTTCTCTCTTCAAACCGCCGAAAGCAACAGGCTCCCAACACAAATCCACCGATTGCCCATTGGGCACCGCCGGTGATCCCGGATCGGATCGGACGGTCTGCTGGTCTGCCGCGGCACTGTGCTTCGGTGATCCACGCGGCATGGAAGCCCAAGGGCACTCGGCGATGCACCGTCCACTCGCACAACGGCACAGCGCTGAAGCTCTGCCCCTGGGCCCAGGCCGTTTGGGGCGTCTTCGCGTGGTCGCACGCCGAACGAAGCACCGGAGCTTCACTGCGGTGAAGCCATTGGACAGGTGTCATGTTGAGTCTTGGCCGTTCGGATTGGGGTGGTGCCTGAGAGGGAACATTCTTTCAAGATGGGGTACCTGTACCTGTTTTTGGGATCATTCCTTCGTACTTTCCCGAGAATCTGCCGATTCCGACCGACCAGTGCGGAGCTCGTCGGAGCTTCGTCGGCTTCCCCAAATCGATGCCCTGAAAGCCAAAGGGGTGCCTAGCTGTTCCAAAGGGGTGCCGAACTTGGAAGATAGGGATGCCCATGATCCACTCACTGGATGAGACTAAGCCCCACCCCACTTCTTTGTGACTCCTGGTGATGGGGTTTTGGGTCGTGTAAAGCCCTTAGTACAACAATGGTTCTTCGGAAATTCAGGCTATTACAAATGGTGGACCACCGGTTTGTAGGGGATGGCTTTCAACGGAAACTTCCACCCTTTTTGCATCTCCCAAGCAAGCACCGCGGACAG